AATATATATATATATATATATATATATACACACACACACACACACACACACACACACACATATACATATACATTAACATATAAATATACATATATTTAAATAAAAGCAAGTTGTTATTAATAAAAATATAAAAAACAAAGTATAGTAGCATATTGATTGAGATGGATTCAATCTTAGCTATAAATATCACAAAATGAATTTTTATTTAGCTTAGAAATAATTTATTTTGAGGATTACATGAATCTATTAGTGAAAATTGATTTGGTTTTCAATTCTTAGACGCCCTGGTGAACAAAGACAATGAACTAATTAGAATGAGATGAGCCCACTTTATCTTCTAAGAGATCAGAGAATTACTCTTTTCTTTTTTAATGCACAATCTAGTTTCAACAAGCTATGTCTTAAAATTTCACATGTGTTCATTCATGTATGCCAACTTTTGATATCAAACTCTCTAATGCAAGGGGTGAAAGCCAATTTTTTAGACTTGAGCATTTCTAAAGAATATGTACAATAGTTTAAGAGATTGTATGTGTCTATCAATTAAATAAATTATAATTAACACCTCAATGAGTTGCCATTACAAATTCATTTTGTAAGGGTAATAGCTAAAGATCAAATTTATAAGAGTATTGATTCTAACTTTGCTAGTTGATAATTTAAGATCTTACTCAAAGCCAGATGCACCAAAGGCCAACTTAGAGTGGTCATCATAATGTTTGTTAAGCTAAGTATTCATTCAACTATTAGCAAGGGATTGGGAATCCTTACATATTACAGTGACTCATTGTTGCTCACATCTTCCAGTTGTAGGATTAATTACATCAATCAATCTCATATAAAAAAAAATAATAATTAAAAAAAATTCTTATTTTAATTATCCATTTACTCACATAATCACCTTTTATCTTTTTAATACAGTTAGGTTGCTTGAGTTGAGGTTGTTGTGCCACCAACTTGGTCTCATATTAAAGCACTTAGTGGAAGGAAAAAATGTAAATGTGATGGAAAGTGTAGAACTGGCAAGTGTACTCCTTTGGCAGGGTCCTTCACTCCCCTACTCATGCCAACCTTGAATGATTCTTTAGTCCTTTTTTAAAACGATGAGTTGACCAATGTGCAATATCTTGTGCGTCTTAGAGGTGTTTGCTTTGATGTAGCTCATAATTGACAACATTAACAATCATTGCAGAGATGCCTTTGCCATAGTTACCAAGCAAAAATAATGTAATAATCAACTTGCTTTAGTAGAATAATTATGATAACAAGTATAATAGTTATGTCAAGATGAATGGTGAAGTAGCATCAACTTTATTAATAAGATAATAAATATGAGGATTAATTTTAATGTCAAGAGTGAAGTAAGATGAGATAAATTATTATTTTTTCTTTAAAGAATCAAAATTAATATATTATCTAATTCTCTTGGTTTTCTTACATTCAATACTTATTACAAATATTAAGTTTATGATGACAACATGAATCAACTCGTCCGGAGAATAAGAAGATTATTCTAGTCTAAAAATGAAAAAAAATATTATGTGCGGCAGACCGTATGTTCGAACAATGGTCCGGATGTGGTCGCACCGCCATGTATCACACATTGACTCATTCATACCGTCATCTAGATGTGTGATCGCTTCACCTAAAATTTGCTCCTAAGAATGAATGCACCTAGATCAAATAAACTCACCTAGCTTAGAATCACTTGCTTAGCCTAAAGGCACTTGCCTCGCTCAAGAGATACTTTCTCAGCTCAAGGAAACTCGCCTTGATCAAAGTTGTCTCTCATTTAGCTTAAAGTAAGAACTTCCTATTGTCTGGAAGCACTTGTTAAGTGCAAAAAAAGCTCAATGGCTTTATTCATTTATACATACTTGCAATCTCATCCATTCTGCATATATTCAGCCAAACAAGCCTTGGAGACACTCATTAAGATATCCATGTATGTGTACTTTTTAAGATTTTCATTATTTTGTTCATATATCAATAAAAGTCCAATCATATGCTTCTATATTTATTATATTTGTATGATTTTTCTCTAATACCCAAACCACAACATAAATATATAGATGGGGCATTTTGGCACAAGACATTTATATATAGAATTCTAAGCCTTTGGACTATGATGGATAAAAATCTTTGAAGTTTCTCTTCTTGTAAGAGATTTCTTTGCTTATTTTTCTTTTCTATATCACTCTTCATCTCATCAAGTACTTGTAAACTCTATAATTAAGGTTTGTGTATAGCAACAGATAATTTAAATTCATTGTTTGGAACACCAATTCAAAGTATTTGAAGTAAAAAAAAAATTAAGTAAAAAAAAGCTTATTTAACTGAAAAATCATTATAAATTAAAAATGAAAGTGTGAGGTAGTTGCAAATATTTATTTAATATCATGTAACATAAACTTAATCATTATATTTACTTATAAAAATATGGAAAGTGATTAATAAAAGTGAAATTGGATTTAAAATATTAACTTTATTTACTTATAACAATAATTAAGATTAGTAAATTATATTTTAAAAACATTTTCTTAATTAAGATGAAGATTACCTCATCAAAAATCTTCTTTGATAAATGCTCTGTAATGCATAGATGTGAAGAAAAAAAAGAAATAGAAATAAAAAAGTTGAAAGTTTAAATGCTACAAATGAACTTATCAGTATTGTATTGTATGAAGCATTGCTACTGATTATCATGGTACAGTGTTACAGTCATCCTGTTGATTGGACTTCCATTTAATACAGCTGTCTTTCTTCATTTCACTTCAGTTTATTATTATTTTCATGTTCTTTTTTTAGCCATCCCAGCTCCCACATCCTTCCCTTTTTCTCTAAGATCTTTAACCCTAGTTTCCTTGATTTGTTGTAGCAAACAAGGATAGAAGAATAGTGAGAAACCAGCAGGCCAGCTTCCTGGATCTTGCAGACCTGAGCAACAACTGCAGCTAAGCAAAAAAGAAAGGTAAAGGTACTCTTTTTCCACTGAATCAAAATCTTCTCATCAGATCAAGAAAAGGTAAGCTGGTTTTGCTCCTAGCTTCCCTTTTGATATTGTGGCAGACTGAGAACATTTGATGGAAAGTTCATAAATTTAGGGTTTTGACAACTTTATTGCTTAGGCTTCTGATCAAGGATTTCTATTTCTTAAATGACTATACTTCTTTCAGTCTAGTTGAATACTATTACAATACTATATATATATATATATATATAATCAGATTCTCATCTTGATGCCAGATCCAACCGAGGTTATAATACAAATGGAACCCTAGCTAAATCTCTATCATGCTTGTGAAATCCATGGCTGTACAAACAACATTGCAGTACTGAACCTTGATATGTATAAGGCAGCAAGCTAGATGACCCAGGTCTCAATCAACAACCCTAACCCTAACCTGAAATTAAGACTAAAACCACTTCTACCATTGACCATTTATTATTTTCTTTCTTTGTACTTGCTTTAAATGTTAAAATTATGTGAATATACTTTATTGCTAGAAAAGCAATTTGATTGCATCATAGATTTACGTTAAGTAGGATTTATGAATCATATAAATTTAGATTTATTTTTAACGGAAAAGTTCGCGAGTGATGATGAATAAATTTATGTTTCATCCAGATTTAATAAATTCGGATTTACGCCGATCGTATTGAATTGAATTTAAGTTAAATTCATCATTAAATCCTATTATTAATATACTATTTATTTTTTTTTTTACTTTTTGCTAAAAATTCAACCCAAGTCTTTTGATCAGCAGAACTAGAGAGTGATTGTTATACACAAGCAGCCATGTCATCATACTCCTCATCATCCGCTTCATCAAACTCTCCCTGCGCTGCATGCAAGTTCCTGAGGAGAAAATGCATGCAAGGTTGCATCTTCGCCCCTTACTTCCCACCAGAAGAACCTCAAAAGTTCTTCAACGTTCACAAAATCTTCGGAGCCAGCAATGTAACCAAGCTCCTCAACGAGCTTCTTCCCCACCAAAGAGAAGATGCAGTGAACTCACTTGCTTATGAAGCTGATGCACGCATGAAGGACCCTGTATACGGCTGTGTTGGTGCCATCTCCGTCCTCCAGCAACAAGTGCAGCTTCTTCAGAAGGAGCTAGATGCAGCAAATGCCAACCTGTTGAAGTATGCATGTAGCTACTGCCATCCTTCAGCACATGCTGGACATCAACAGGTTCTGCTTCCCTACCATTCTTCTCTTCAATGGAGTAATAATTCAGATAATGAGCAGATGAGGGAGAAGGGTGGTTATGTTTATGGGGATGTGGATGGGAGTTAGGGAAGTGGGGAGATCATGTCTTTTAATTAATATGTGGGTTTTATTGTATGGTTTGTTTGGATATGTATTGACCGTGCATGGCATTGATTGCTGTGTTTCTGTTGTCAGAGATTTATGTACTTTATTGGTAGTGTAATGCCTTTGCACAATGAGGTTTTGTTAAGGGAGTAAATATTATTTATGATGTGATGATTGTTTGGATGGGTTATCTTGTGATATATGATAGTATGATTATATTTGTATGTTGCATGTGATATTTTCTATTGAGTATGGGATTGGGTATTAGCTTTTATTGCATGTTCTAGTAATACTTCTTTCAATGCTCCCTCGTTTGATTTAGGGGGAAATTTGGCAAATTTTGAATTAAAACATTTGTATCTTTTTTTAGTTGTTTTTGTTGGGTTATTGAATTTTTTTTAGCATATAAAAACATTACTTGTATGATAGGATAGTAAGTAATATAATTTTGGGAACATTTCTTAATGGAAATATTTGTTTAAAGATGGTGATGAAAATTGTCGATTTGACTTGTAGGATGTAAAGAGTATTTGCCTTTTAATAATGTTCATGTTACATATTGTCAGTGTTGCAAAGTATGGTATGGTGTCATCAAATGTTAGGGTGCCTTTTTGGAGAAAATATTAACGTTAGGATCACGGATGTGCGGACGACAGCGTGAATCACACCATACCATCACCCACTTGTCCAAATAACTGGACGAAATATTTTCTCATTTTTTTTTTGTGATGAGAAATTCTAGTGCTACATATCGACCACAGCAAATCCAATCCTGACTTGATCAACCCTTTTATTTTTGTTGTTGTTGCGAGAACTAGATATACCAATTGATGTGGTATATATATAAATCAAACAGGAGAACGATCGACGAAGTGAAAAATAGACCGAGAAAAATCACACCAGAAAAGAATAACACAACGGAACACACAGATTTATGTGTTTCGGCAAATTGCCTACGTCCACGGAGTTGCAGAGGATTTTACTACTTGAGAAATTTACACAAGTCGATCACATCGACTTACAAGAGGAATCTCTTACTCTTCATTGCTCTCTCTCTTCTTCTCTCTGTTCTTCTCTCTCTATATCGAGATACACCGAATAAGATAAACTTATAGGAGAAATAAACTCAATTTCTCTTCTGCCACAAGCCACCAAGAAGAAACCTAGGGAGAACAATCTTCTTCTTCCTTCTGCCTCAAGGAACTGCTCCTCCTTGCACTTATCTTCCTTTGCCCCGAGGAAACCTCAATCTATCCTGAGGAAACCGAAAAAGAACTCAAAGCGTGACTACTAAACCCAAGGAGAGCCATCCGAAGCTTTTATTACGAACAGGAGGGAGCGAAGAGATACTTCACTTCACAAAAGAGGAAGCCGGGAGTGGTTATTTGTGAAGATATGTGACTCTCCAAAGCAAAATAACCGCCCAAACATAGTGGACCGAGCTCCACCGTTTCTAACAGTCCTTACAAGTGGAATTCATTTTTTGAAAAGAGTACCGTTTTGGTCATTCAAATATTCAGCACACAATCTAAAGAAACATATTGATATTATAAAAAAAAAATATGTAAATTAATGAACTGTTGCAATTTTTATGTTTTATACATTTGTCAGTGCTTACCAACTTTATTTTATTTTTTAAATTAAATGAAATTAAAGATTTATTTTTTAAAAATTCTCTTTAAAAAATAATTTTATTTTTATATTAGCGTTCATAAATTAATTTCAGCGTTATTTTATAATAAACAATTATTTTTTGCATGTTTTATATTAATTTCATTGGTTTCTTACGTAATTTCATACACATTATATGATGAAAATTTTCATATTGAGGGAGGATGAGCCTTATAATTATATAATGATTAAGTGATGGCCAAATACGTATGCTGAAGTACGCAGAGCCTGCTGGAACTAAAAGTGACATTGGATGACGTTGGGCAAGTAAATATTCTACACTATTTTGATTTATTTTGTTTTACATATTGAGGGAGGATGAGCCTTATAATCCAACACTTAAAATTTTCACTTTGTTTCATATGCTATAAATTTCAAAACTTAATATACTATGAATTCAGATATAATTAAAAGTTAATGAAATTATGCGGGGGTTGAATTCTGATCTTTCCATAGATCACATCCAAGTAATAGAATGTAAGATAGGAGAGAGAAAGGGTAAGCAGAAGAGAGAGAGAGAGAGAGAGAGGTTCATAATAATAAACAGTAAATAATATTATTGATTAGTTCTTTCTCATAAAATGATTTTTCTATTTATAGATGGGGTAAAATATATGAAGTTACATGTTTGCTCCTGTTTTAATAAGAGTGTTGAAAGATATTTTAGATATTTAACATGTACGGGCCTATGGTTTGGCTACCCTCTAACTCGGCCCCTTAGTTCAACAAGATATACTCGTCCGAGTAGCTGGATCGGGGATGCAGATCAGCCTTTTGATAATCTTGAGGTTGGCAAGTTTGGCTTGATCAACTTAGATTGGCTGATCGGTTGTTCTAGTTTGGTTGTCGACCGTTGATCCTTAAATGAGAAGCTCATGTCGTCAAAACGAGACTAGACTATCAGACAGAGAGTGAATCACTATAATTTGATAGATAGCTCATTCCTTGATGAGAGAATCCTTTGGGATATTTGTGGGTTACGTTATTTCCAAGTGACATTGGATGACGTTGGGCAAGTAAATATTCAACACTATTTTGATTTATTTTATTTTACATAGTGAGGGAGGATGAGCCTTGTAATCCAACACTTAAAATTTTCACATTGTTTCATATGCTATAAATTTCAAAACTTAATATACTATGAATTCAGATATAATTAAAAGTTAATGAAATTATGCGGGGGTTGAATTCTGATCTTTCCATAGATCACATCCAAGTAATAGAATGTAAGATAGGAGAGAGAAAGGGTAAGCAGAAGAGAGAGAGAGAGAGAGAGAGGTTCATAATAATAAACAGTAAATAATATTATTGATTAGTTCTTTCTCATAAAATGATTTTTCTATTTATAGATGGGGTAAAATATATGAAGTTACATGTTTGCTCCTGTTTTAATAAGAGTGTTAAAAGATATTTTAGATATTTAACATGTAAGGGCATATGGTTTGGCTACCTCTAACTCGGCCAACCAAAGTCAACATGCCTTAGTTCAACAAGATCTGCTCGTCCGAGTAGCTGGATCGGGGATGCAGGTCGGTCGTTTGATGGTCTTCAGGTTGCCAAGATTGGCTCGATCAACTTGGATTGGCTGATCGATTGTTCTAGTTTGGTTGCCGACCGTTGATCCCTAGATGAGAAGCTCATGTAAGTAAAACGAGAATAGACTATCAAACAAAGAGTGAATTACCATAATTCGATAGATAGCTCATTCCTTGATTAGAGAATCCTTTGGGATGTTTGTGGGTTACGTTATTTCTAGTTCTTGACCCTAAATGAGGAATCTCAGGGGCGTCCATGAAATTGTTAGCAATATGATATGCACTTACATGAGAGGCTTTATTAAATATTGTCTTTATGAGCATGCTTTTCTATCAAGAATAAGGATGGAGATATCTTGATGGTTTATTAATGCATTGATGGCTTAACTTTCACCACAAGCAATCCAAGTATAAATGAAGAGTTCAAGAAAGCCGTGACTAAAAAATCTTAGATGATTTATATAGGGCTCATGACATACTACCAAAACATTATAGTCAACCCAAGTGAATATAAAATATTTATTTCACAAGAAGGATTTGTAAAAGATATATTAAAGAAGTTCAGAAGGGACAATAGGAAGCCCATAAATGTTCTTACAGAATGTGGATTTATGTTATTATGGATGATGAATGAGAATGACTATTTTGGGGGAGTTTGAGCTAAAAACTATTTTGCATGGGAAATAATAATGCGCAACACAAGCAATTCATAATTACTAAAATTAAGCTCTAGTATTTCTTGAAAAATTGAGTCATTTATTCATATTTTTCTAGGTTTTAATAAAAGAGAAGCATCTAATGTTTATAATCCAAATTATTAGTCTTTAGTAATCATTAAGGAAGGGGTTCATTGTCTTTATTTACGATTTATGTTATTATGGATGATGAATGAGAATGACTTGATCCTACACTTCTTAGGTATTTTGGGGGAGTTTGAGCTAGTTGACATGCAAAAGACTTGATATTATTTTTGTTGTTGAACATGTAACCCACTACTTCAAGACTCCAAATATGATGCACTTGAAGTCAAATAACCTTGATCCTTATCAAAAGCACAAATAAGTTTTGCCTACATTATTTATTATCTTGTAGTTTTAAGCTTGTAGGATATTGTGACAATAATTGGGCTAGAAACATGGTTGATAAAAATAACATCACTAGAATTGTGCTATTTTTAGGAGGCAATAATTTCACATGAATTTCAATGAATCAATTGAATGTCACTTTTTCTAGTTGTGAAGTAGAGTAAGTTGTAGTAACTTCATACTTTTATCATGAAAATGAATTTGAAGTAGCTTGCTAAGTTAAGTAATAATGTTTAAGACAATAAGAAGTAAAAAAGTTCTAGGTGTGAACATGTCAAAACTAAGGCTAACCATAAATATAGTTTTCCTTGACAAGAGTAGGCATAATGATATGCATTATCACTATATTAAAATATCTATCTCAAGAAGGAAAAAAAAAAAGATATCATTTAAAAGTGAATGTTTTATTAAGATACAAAGTTTGTTTGAATTTGAACATCCAGTATAAGAGGCATGCATGTTAAAAATTAAAGTTGATTTAAACCATATATAATTATGCTTTAATTATTTAAAGATGAACACAAAATCTAGAATTGTTCTTCATAGAATTTTAGAGACATATTTTAAAGCAGTTTTCTATGGATTCTAGAGTCATATTTTATTAGAGTCCATACAAATATCAAGAGTGCAAGAGTGAATACTTGTGAACTTTTGTAATTCAAGGTAAGAGAAAAGCTTAAAGAATCAATGATAGCTAGAAGATTATAATGTGTTGAAGCAATCCTAAACTGGGTTCCACTAATATCAATAGATGTAATGTCTTTGAGTTTGTAAGAAGTGAAAAACATAAAGAAATAAAATTATCTCTTTCATCAAATTAGAGTTTTCCTAGTCTCTTTCATATCTTGAAAGC